TCAGCCACTTCTGCATCTACCTTGGTGCTGACGTACTGCATTACGAAATGGCACACTGTCATGTTTGTATTTAACCTCTTCTTAAGCACGGTTACTCCAAAGATGAGGACTGCAGTGTCTACTTAGTGTAAAGAAAGGAAGGGGGAGGCACTGGGATCAGAGTGCTGCCTCTCTCACTTTATGTGCTGCTAGGTGGCCCTTTGCATCTCTGGGTCTAATTTTCCTATCCTCTGTGAAAAGCTGTACCTTTTTAGGGTGCTTTGTGAGATCTGCAGAAGAAAAACTTTGTAGCTTTGTTAATGCAGATGGCTCTGTGCTGTGTCTCCTAGTAGATGTCCTCCGGAATATCTACAGAATCCTTCATGCTAGCATCAGTGGCAGCAGAGAACAAAAAAAAGAAGTTTTGCTCAAAGATTCTGGGGACTAAGAAGTAAGCTTTCCTTTCCAGTAAAATATGGCATCATTTTCCTAAAGCCCTCACTGCTCTCTGTTTTTCTTTCAGTGGATTTTGCTAAATTTCATGAATCAACTATGTTCACAAATGTGAGTAAATATAGTTTATTTTCTTTAGGAATATTCCACTTGATGTCATTGCTTGAGATAACATTCAGGTCTGTTTTATTTATTTCTGTAGAAAATACAGCCTGAGTTACTTACAGAATATATCTTAAAATTGGCAGTATCTTTTTGCTGAGTCTAATAAATGTTTGTTGGAGAGTTCATTCTGCAGTACAAAACAAAGGAGGTTTGGAAATTGCAAACCTGTTCTGTTGCCTTCAAAATCTGTTTAATATTATTCATTGTCCTTCATGATAGCATTACTGAAATGTTATCAAACAAAATACCAGTATCAAACCTAGTGGACTTCATGGAGTCTGTGCTTAGTATTTCTTTTGTGTATCAGAACTTTAATTTGGGCTGAGCAGGAAAAAACAGCATTTCTTACAGCTGGAGAGAAAATTCCAGCAGTATTTAGCAGCCAAATACCAGTGCAGGAAGAACCATCCCATCCCCAAGAGAAAACTTCCTTCTTCCTCCCCTCCTCCTATCTACCCATTCCTCTCCCCCCTGCAATGCCACACAGCACCCACCAGCTGCTGCACCGTTCTCCTGGGCCTGCAACCACCACACTGCAATTTATGTACAAAATGGCTGCTCAGGAGGAATAAAGGATCTGCAGGGCACCTCTGAGCATTGACTTGCATGGCAGCCGATTGCCCTCCAATCTTTAGGATTGTTCTAGGTGGACTAGGGCCCAATCTCAACAATCAATTCAATCCCTGAACTTCCTGCTGAAATTAATGGGCTGCAAGATTCTTATTGACTTCAGTGAGCTTTATCTCCCATGATTTATTCATTGCTCTCTTCTGTACCTAAAGCTTTTCAGTGGTATCCAATCTGTACAACAGTTGAACACAGCTCTGCCATCCCTGCTTATTGCTGAGTTTCAGCATATCTTTCAGACTGTTATATTTGAAAAGCACCAGCTAAGATCTGCTGGGAGCCCCACCACTAATGGTACCCTCCCTCAGCTCCACTGCCTTAGATCTAGATCAGTTTCTTCCTCTTCTCTGCTAGAGACACACAGCAGAGTACCTTACCCAGGCCACCAGAGTAACAGCCTTCCTGTTGTTGCATTTTGATTTTAATGAATTTTTCCCCTTTCTCTGGAACTTCACTGCTTTCACACCTCTGTTGAAAACCTGTGTGCCGTCTACCAGCCATCTGATCATGGCAAAATTGCCCTATCGCTCATTGTTTTCTACCTTGCAATTTCAGAGTGTTTAACCTTCTAATTGCATCTTTCACCTTGTTGTTTGTGCCACAACATCACAGCATCTATCTAAAGATGGCTGTTAAGGCCTTTTGCCTACCTGGTAGTTTGCCATGTCATCAGCACCCTGCACTTTAAAGCATGCTCTGTGGGGCACAAGCACTCTTTCTGTCCCTCTGCTTTTTGTTTTTTTCCCAATAAGATCTTTCTGTTTAGCCCGGGAGCAGCAGATTGCAAAGCCCTTCAGTGAATTCTTAGGAGATAATTAAAGTGCTGCAGCCTTCGTATGCAGAGGAGGATCAGGTTGGTTATACTCACTGCAGGTAACGCTGCATTTCATTCAGCAGCATGTCTGCATTGGATGTTTGAGGTGGATGCGTTTGCCATTATCTAGTCTACTCAGCTAGGGTTTTGCAATTTGCACACACATTTGTCATTGCCACAGAGAAACAAACTTCATTCATGCCTGGAGAAGGGGCTGAGGAGCATGAGCAGCAGTTGGGTTTGTCAGCTGTGTTCCTGTTTCTGATGTTCTCAGTTCCAAAATCACCATAGACCCATATAGCTTTGCAGTTTACTCTTAGTTCCTTGTCCTTTACTGGTCTGTGAACTTACTTATATACAAACTATTTTATTTGTCACCTTTAATATTGATGTTATATTTAGAACTTTGTGGTGCTTGGCCTGCAAAAGGATACTTCAAATCAAGCCAAGGTAAATGCCTCTATAAATACAGTTGCCACATTTATACTGGATTATATTCAAACTGCGCAGAAGGAATGGAACTGAACCAAGAGGGAGAGATTATTTTTATGGTCTATTGCTGTAGGTGGCAGATCGTTTCATCTGGCTTGTCTTTTGTTATCGGAACATGCGCTGCTGCCTCAATCCCCTTACAAAACCTGCAACTTGGAGACCAGTTTCACCTGGACTGGTGTTAAGGTGCCTCTTACAAAAAGTGTGTGCTGCTGCTTAGTTCCTAGTAAGGCTGCTAGGTGATGTGCTTTAGCTTCATGAAGAATATACAAGAACCCCTGCTGGCTGTGCAGCTATAATTTGGCACACCTGCAGCATGGCTGAATGTGGGTTCAGAACTGAGCCAGTCAAGGTCACTGGGCAATACTTGATAAAACACTTTGATACTTTGACAAAAACAAGGTAAGGCTTTCAGGAAATGGCCACACACCTTGCGTGCCTCACATTTAGGATTGCCATTTACATCCTTGTGGAAAAGACACTAAACATTACTAACAGGGTGGCAATAGTATATATTACTGCAATTAATATACAGTGTTCACATTAGGAGTAAACATAAGTTTTGTTTTCACTACTGTTTCTTCAGAAACAGACACTTGATTTACTCAAGTAAAGTATGGACATGATCCAAAAGTCAAATCCTTACCTATTTTAGACAGATGCATAATCCTGCACCTAAGACTACTTTAGCCTCTTTTAGCCTCTGTTCCTTGCTTCCATTCTCATCCCCATACAAGGAGATGGATCTGTGAAAAAAAGATACCAGGAGACTCTCTACGAAGCTTACATCTTTAACCTCTGCTGGATTTCTGTAGTGCAAACTCCTTTTTCCAGTGCAGTTGACTAAGAAAGGTCACTTCTTTAGGGGTGGATGAATTCATTATACTTCAATGCTTGCTAGCTACTGAAGCTTCTCCACATTCATACTATTTGCATATATAAAGATGTGTATTGTATATTTATACATTCCTTAGATGCATGCTTACCATATAGACAGTGAAATTATTCTGTTGAAATGAACATATTGAAAAGTTAAACTCAGATAGATTAGGATGTGCATTTCCACAGAGAACGGAAGATGCATGCATTTACCTAAAAGGGAAACTGGGTGTGCAATGCTCCAAAGGAGTGGGTTTTGACCTGATACATATATATATACAGATATTTAAGAAAGATGTGATACTGGTGATATTGATCTGATACAGAATCACAGCACCAAGGATCAAGTCCAGGTCTTGGCTCCACACAGGACCATGTGCTGGTGCACCTCTCTGGAGCGGCTCAGAAACAGAGGAGGTAGCATTACATTAGGCAAGAACACAGACCTTTGCTTTCAAATGTAACCATTGCCAGACATTCAAACTTGCTCATATTTTATGTTGAGATGGGAGCGTCGCTCCGTGCCAGTGCAGGGCTCCGTGGGGATGCTGCACTGCGCGTCTGGGGCTGTGTCGTTGTTATCTTCTCATATTCCAAGGCTCAGTGAGGAGCTTTGTGTCCTTGCTGTGCCCTCTAACCAAAAGATATCAAGTGTTAGGCTGTCTGCTCTCTGGGGATGTTACTAATAAAGCACTCTCCAGCTGGCTGCCAACCACTGCTTTTTAAAAATAACCAAAACATGGGAGGTTACAGAACCCATTAACCCCAGGACATGTTATTATCCCTAGAACAGCAAACATTTTATGAGCTAAATTACAGCTTTGACAACAATATGTCTTAGAAAATAATGAATTGGGCCCTGCAAGTCACGAAGCTGGTTCAGAAGTATCCATTTTTTTCTCAGTGGACCTGAGATTTTCTTTAGTCTTCTCCTGATGTCTGGCCCTTCATGATTTTCAAGTTTTCAAAACTTGCTAATTTTCTCCCTGCTGAGACATTGCTCCAGAGCTGGGGCCGTAAATATTGCAAGATGCCATCGTCTTCTAAATCCCAATCTTTAATTAGTAAGAGAGCTTAAATTAAATGCAAATTTTCAATACAGATATAGCACCTAAGAGAACTACAAGATTCCTGTCCCTGGACTGCCATTAGGAGATGTGTTGTTGGGGGGCTTCATCCTCCTTCGCTGCTGAAAGCATTGTCAGGAAGGTGAAATGAAAGTCAATGACAAAGCAACGTGCACTGGTACCTGTCACCTGGCAGACATGTGTCACCCTGATGGGCCAATTGCTCTGCTTCTTCCCAACCAGCACAGCTTTAAAAGGGAATTTTGGTGCCATGCACAGGTGAGGCTCACCTGGAGCCTGCAGCCAGCCCTCCCCTCTTGTCACCTTGGGGAACGCAGACCCACAGGCAGCAGCTGGGCTCTGCAGCACTTGCAGCCCCTGGTTTGGACATATCTGTCTTCTGAATGGTTCAAAAAATTTCTCTGGTTTGAAGTTTAATTCTGAGGCGTTGTATGTAATTAAACCTTGACATTTGAAGTCATGAACGAGCAAGCTTTATATTTTAGCTTAGTCTCAAAAGAATATCGGGATGCAGGCAGACATAAAATGACTTTATTAAATTAAAAGCTTCAAACTTTCTGTAGGCATGTAGTTTGTGCTGCTGGGAATAGGCTCTTCAGAAATAGCACTCTGGTCCCACTAAGCTGAACCTTGGCTCTTCTCGAGGGAGGGATGGAGGCGGGATGTTCCACTGCAGGAAATAGAGGGCATGAGTCAGTACGCCACTAGTGCTTCCCCTTCCCCCAGAACGTGGGCAAGGCCCAGGAAGCCCAGGCTGTTAGCATTCCCAGGCCCTGTCTGGGAAGGAGGAAGTTTCCAAAACATTGCTGAGATCCCCTGGAAGCTGGATCTTATTGACATCTATAAATAGGCAGAATATCTTTCTTTTCACCAGTGCCTCTGCGAGGCTGTTCTTACAGTGTTTCATGTGCAGATTCAGCAAGAAATGATCATGTTCTTTAGTCCAAAAGCCTCCAGGAGAGAGACGTCACTGTCCGCCCATTGGAAGCCACTAAGTGGGACACAGGTCATTACTGCTGCTGTTTTACTACCTGGCCACAGTCAATGCTGAGCCTTTTATGTGCTCAGGAGAGAAAATATCTGTGACACTCCGCCAGTGACTGCAAAGCCACAAATGTAGACCTGCTGTCTGCCTCATCTGCCAAGCTTGGAAAAGCAATACATAAAATTAGGCTCCCAAGGCTACCTAAATAGGAAGCCAAACAAATTTAAAGATTCCAAATGGCTTTAGTTATTTTCATGGCATCCAAAAAGGAGAAAACAAATGAGTTGCTTGTTTTCAGTGCCCTTGGTCTGTAGTTTAAGATAATAGTTAAAACCATCTATTTTGACCTTCTGGCCTAAGTAAGACAGGCAGGACTGCAAATGCTGGTTTCACAATGAAGTGCTGTTTGGCAACGGAATTCTTAACGTACAGTGAAGAGCATCCTTCATTTCTGTCACCAAAAAATTACAAAAAAAAGCCCTGCATGCAGAACCCCTTGTATGTAAGTCCATCAGGAAAACATCTCCACAATTCTCCAGAGGTGAGAAAACAGCAACCAGATCCTTGAGCCATTTATACTTGTCCTTCCCATCAAATCTTTCTCAGCAGATGAGACCAGAGCCCAGAAGGTTTCATAACCAGCCCAGTGAGGTCAGGCTCTGTCACCCGAGCTGCACTGAGCCTGCTGCTGGTCTGAAAGCTTTTGAGTATTGTCCGAGAGCAGACTGCCTTCATGTAATGGTCTATCCAACCGCGATGGCTTCTGAACACAAAACCTGTGGCATTCTATAATCCTTCCTATCTCATCTCTTTCAGGCCTTTGAAAATAATTTCAAAGTCTTTCCATTCCTATGATACGCCTCTAAATTTAGCTACTTTTGGCTCTATGTGGATGACCCGTTCTTTCTCCTTTCTATGCAAGCCCACTAAGATTTTAGTATTAATGGGGTTTTTAATTGTTCTGTTACGAAGCACATAAACACAGAGCCCTTTGGCAAGGGCACACATTAGAAATAAATTGAGTTCTCATCCTTGTAATAGAAAAACAAATGCAGTATGGATCTGTCCGTTAGCCAAGGGCATGCTTGCCCCTTAGAGAATGGTACAACCACACGAGCAGACCCCTGTTAGTGACTGCTGTTTGCTTTTCCAGACAGACCTCACTCTCCTGCCTGCCAAAACTGCTTTTTGATGGCTGCTACCGTAACACACTGCTGTGGATCAGCCAGGCCCTGGGTGCCCCTCTGACATTGCTGCCATACTTCCATGGCTCATACGTCATCTCCTGCTTGAAGGACTCTGTGTGGACACTACTTCTCTGCCCTGCTCAGAACCCAGCTGCCACCTATCTTCCTTCTACACAACACACAGTGTGCAATACAACCCCAAGTTTGAAGCAACCTTGTCTTTTGTATGGAAGAATCTATGAAGGATGAAAAACTCCATCTGGATACAGAGCGAAGAATAAGAAATTGTGGATTCCACTGAATTCCATGAGATGGGAGAGCAGTGGGCCTGCTGTAACACAACCTGGCTTTTTCTCCTAAAAGGTGACCCTGGAAACCCTGTGAGGTGCCAGACTAAAGGAACTGAGATATGGCTCCTGAAGGCCATTCTCAGTGACGGTGACATGAGGTGCTACAGGCTGTTCCTGCATGCCCTGGTGTCCCACTGCAGCAGAGATCTTGGCCACAACTGAGAGGGCAGGAGTAGATTGTCAGGGCACAAGCTGAGCTGCAGCCTCCACTCAGAATGAGAAGAGACCTCTACACAGGCAGCAGTGGTATTTCAGGAAGGCGATTTCAACCCCAAGCATGAAAAGTGAATCCCCAAACTCATCTAAGGATGGGCAACTTGGGATTTACTTCTCCCGCAGTGAGGAGATGCTTCCTGTCTCTGAGAGCAAGTGCACTTGGAAGCTTGCTGGGACTGACTGAAGAGGTAGACTCACAACAGAGCTGTGGTTAATTGATCATTTCATGCACAAGTGGTTTCAGCCCCCTGCACCTCTCAGGGTGCTACAGTTACCCATTTGATAGCACTTTTCCCCACAAGGCCGGCTCCCCCTGCAGCTTCCACTGCTTGCCCTGAAGCATCACACAAGGCAGGTGCAGGTTACCAGACATCTTGACTTGGTTCCATGCTCTGTGGTGGCTTTGGAAGGTCATCTGCAAGGGGGGAAAGGAGAAGATCTTAATGAGTTCAGGCAGCAGTGATGTGCTGGGGAGAAAGCTGCTGTATGGCATTCCCCTGCACCCACCCTGTTCCCACCTGCACTCAATGCACACTGCAGCCCACGGGCTTTGACAATGCTTGTCTCTTATCTCCACATCTCCTCCCAGGCTGCAGGAGTTGTGCCAGGGCCAGAGACAAAGATACTGTTCTTGCAGCTTTGTCATGAACTCATGTTTGTTGGCTCTTGGCCAGATAGAGCCATTCCTTACCAGGGAACAGTCAAGATACAGATGAGGAAGAAATGTTTGAGATCATCATAGAGAAACACCAGCACTGGGGAGCCATCGGCTGGCTGGGGTGCTGCAACCAGACACGTCCCGGGCACTGTGTGTCCCCTTCTTACACACCCTTCAGGTTCCAGCATGAGCCCAGCCTGATGGAGCAGCCTGTCGAGTTATATGCTGCATCCTCACCTTCAAGCTCAGCTGTTAAAATTCAGTCTCTGTTCTGGGAGTAGGGAGCAGGCAACAGGAAGAGCCTCCAGCACTGCCTGCAGCAGCACAGCAGGAGACAGCACCCAGCCCACTCCTGGTCCCATCTCCCTCACCTCAGCAATTGCCACCTTCCTCTCCCAAGCCTTGATACTCTTTTCCAGGTCAGCAACAGCAATCACTGTCTGCACGTAATTCATCACAGGAGGGGTGCTGTAGTCTGACAGCTGCTTCTGCAGCCACCCAATGAGTCTCTCCTCTTTGGCTTGTTGCTGCAGGAGGAAAAGTGACAGAGGGCAAGGACAGGGCAGGATAAAGGAGGGACACGATGCGATGTACCCACCCATGCCTCCATCCCATAGTGGAGCTGCCCAGAGGTGGCCCAGTGTCCATGTCCCCAGACTGTAACATCTGTGCTACTTCTCACTAGGAAGGACACTGCTGGTGAAAACCTCATGGAAAGAGAACTTCAAAAAGGCAGTGGATGGACCCTGGAGGGGTAAAATCCACAAAGGAGCAAAGCTGCCCATCCCCACCCACAGCAGCAGGAGCTCCAGGACTTATTCTCAGTCCCACCAAGGCATGCAGATAGCTATGGCCTAAAAAAAAAGTCCTCTCAAGTGAAGTCTCAGTGATTCCCAAATTGTTCTCTTACCTCCTTCACAAGAGTAGTATTTCTTTTGATCTTCTCCAGCATCTCTTTCCTCTGGGAGATGTCTTTCATCAGAACTGCAGATGTTTCCATGGCATTGTGCAGCTTTTTCTGGAACACAAGAGCAGGACACTGGCAGCAGGTGCAGTGGCAGACCTCCAGTCCCTGCAGAGCCTCTGGCATACTTGGACTGAGGAAGGGAAGGCTGCAAGAGCTGCTGGTCAGCTCATGTGTGACCATGGGGAATAGCAGGAAGGACAAGTAGGGGCACTGGGATCTTCACTCACCTTCCAGAAGTTGAGGATCTGGATCTTCTCTAAGGCCAGCTTTAGCTGCTGCAGCTCCTTGTTCTTCTCATCAATCTCCTCCTCATACTGTGCTTTCTTAACCTGCAGCAGCTCTGCATGGACTTCATGGAACATGTCTCCCACCTGCTCCTTCTGCAAGCCCAGGGAAACAGAGCTGCAGAGTACTGACCGAAGCTGAGACTCAAATAAAAGAGCTTTGCTTGATGGAGAAGCAGACTTAAAGCACACGGTTATCTGCCTGGCTGCAAACCTGAGGCTTAAAGAGAAATGTCAGACAAATGTCCCATACTGGGTGTCCAGGCAGCACGCACCTGCCTGAGCTGCTGCTGCAGCTTCTTCTTGTAGCTCCTGAGAAAATTGCTTTCTAAGCGCAGCTTCTGTCTCATCAGATCCTGAAGAAAAAAAAAACAGAGAGTGACAGCAGGGCCTGGGAGGAGGCAGAGCACCAGGCCCCATGCTTTACTGTGCGCTTTCCCTTTGTTCCACCTGCACTGCAGCCCTCACACCGCTGTTGTGCCTCACCTGTGCTCACAGGGTTAGTTGCTAAGATAGTCTGAGAATATGAGGCAGCTGATGTAGGGGTATGGGAACCTGAATTTTCAGATGGACCAGGCTCAACTTCTGCCATGCTGCACTGACCCTCTGGTGGTTCTTCTCCTCCAGGTATCTCAACAGCTTCTCAGAAGCTGTGATGCTCCCTTTCTCATTGGAGATGGTTTTGACAATGTCTTCCTCAAAGTCGTTGACAACTTTCTTAACATCAGCCCACCAAGCATCTGCTTCTTGTATGACTGCCTGTAGTAACGAAGTCACATCAGTGTCAAAGAGGTGTGAAAATCCACAGTGCTGCAGGATGCCTCGCTATCTTAAGAGCTGTACCTCGAGGTCATGCAAGGTCTCCTCCGAATCCTCCTCCATCTTCTGAATGTCACTTTTCACGTCCAGCAGCTCCCGCTCAGCCAGCTCACATTTCTGCTCCACTGTCAGGGCTCCAAAGTAGGCCGATGAACTGCGCAGCCTGGATCTGGACCTGCCACGTGTCTGCAACAATTGAGCAACAACGCAGATGCCAAACCAGCACTGGCCAACTGCTGCTGCATTTTCATGTATTCCCAAAGAAAGTAAGTTAGTGATTAGATAGCAGAGGAACAACGTGCACTTGGCAAGAGGGATCTGGGTGTGGATGCACAAAGGTCTGGATGAGCTGGGATGAGGACAATCAAAGCATCCCAGCATCATCCTCCCTGTGTGTTCAGTTTCTCCTTCAAATCAGTCAGCCTGGCATGCAGAAGAGTGAGTGAGCCCACACCTACACCTAGAGGCCCAGCACACCTGTTTTCAAGTTGGGATTGGGGTTAAGTCACTCTTCCCAATCTGCCCCACTCCATACCAGTATGGGTACCAGCTCTGCTGGGGAGCTGTGCTGTGGGAGGTCCACGCTGCTCAGCTGCATCTTGTGGTACTGGTTCTGAAACAACTCCACCTTGGCTTTCAGCAAGTCGTTGGCATGGCTGCAAAGTGATGGATGTGTACTGTGACAGGAGCAGTGGGCAAAGGAGAACAATCCAATGCAAAGCAGATCCCCCAAAATGAGGGAGGCTGCAGGTCTCCCTTCCAAGAGCCAGGACACAGAAAAGACCCTCAGAGCTGCCCCTGTTCCAACCTGGACACAAGGGGCTGCCAGAACCTGGGCCAGGGGCCTGCAGGAGGGGGGATCCTCAGGTGGCCAGGGGTGGCTTGGCCTCTGTGTCCTGCCCCCATCCCCGCTCCTGCCTCTGTCCTATTCCTGCTCCTGTCCAATTCCTGTCTCCGTTCTGCCCCCGTCCTCGTCCTGCCCACGATCCTGTCCCTGCCCTTGTCCCATCCGTGTCCTTACCCCTGTCTTATCTCTGTCCCGGTCCTTCTCTGCCCCTCTCCCTGCCCCTGTCCCTGTCCCTGTTCTTGTCCCGTCCCAGCCCCAGCCCCTGCCCGGCTCCAGTTACCGCCCAGGTTCTGGCCCCGTGCATCCCCTCGCCCCGCCGCCCCCAGCCCGGCCCCAGCCGGTACCGCTTCTGCTCTAGGCGGTCCCGGAGCTGCGGCAGGGGCAGCGCGGCCAGCTCCTGCTCCGCCATGGCGCGTCCTGGCAACGGCTGCACGGGGGGCAGCGGAGGGAGGAAAGGGCAGGACGGCTCGCGGAGCTTCCGACGGCCGTTGATCGGTTTCGTTTGTTTCTCTGCTTGCTGGCGCCCACGGGTTTCTCTCGTTCCCACTCATTTTGCAGAGTGGAGGTTTTTACCAACCCAAGCAGGGGAAATGCACCGCGCCCGGTGCTGCGTGAGCCCGCACCACGGCAGCACCCCCCAACGGCAGCAGTGCAAAGCCCCGGGGGCTCCGCTCCTGCCCTCGGCCGGGCGTGCGCTCGCGGCACTGACACCGCGTTAGCTTTGCTCCCCAGCGCGGACGCGCCGACGCGCACGCAGGAGCGCACAGGCAGATTTCCATCGTTAGTCACCGCTCCAACTCTGCAAGCGGCTCCGCGGCCCAGCGGTGCTCGGGGCTGCGGTTTGGCTCGGGGCCGGGCTGAGCGCGGCGCCGTGCGGGATTCCCTCGGCAGACGGCCGTCTCGACCACCCTCGGCGCTCACAGGCGGCTCCGCCGCGATCCCCGCGGGTGACGGGCCGGGCCGGGCGTGACGTCAGCCGCCCGGCGGCGGGGGCGCGGCAGGCGGACCTCCGCGCCGCCG